ATAAAATGTATGAATGATGCAGTGCTAATGGACATATCATTTATTACAGTACAGAAACTATAAAGTATATTTTCTACCTAATTCTGTGCAGAAATTTGAAATAATTGTTTGTAGTATATAAAACAATCATAAAATTGCCATTAGGAAAAAATTCTAGATTACAAATGATTGATTATTGTCCAGCAGTGTATTTGATTTCTTATAGCAAATTCAAAGTAAGATATAAGAAAATAATTCCTTGTAAAAAATAATTATAATAATACATACATAAAATTATTGTATTTGACATTTCTGTCACTTCTGAAATGATGGCTACGCCCATGGTGTGACAAAATGTTAGCCTATACATAATACTTATAAAGCTCTTTTTTTTAATCTTGGCTTACATACATTTTTACGCATTCCTTGTCATGCCATAGCATCATTAAACCAGCATCTAACCATTTAAATAATCTTGTGAATGCACTTAAAGAATGCAGAATTGAATCGTTAATCGAATCGAATCGAATTTAATTGTGAATCGAATCGAATCGTTCTAAATTTGCAAAAATCGTTATTGAATCGAACCGAAAACCTATGAATCGTGAATCGAATCGAATCGCTGTCTACCCAAAGATTCACAGCCCTAATAATTAGCCTATATAACCATTGGTATTTCATTAATATGAAGACCATGTTCTTGTTCTTTATGAGAAGTGGTTTTATTTAATTTTAACATAAAGGTATGTTATGCGTCACCACAGTTAAATCGGTGTCTATCATGATAAAACTTCAACCTCAACAAAAGACATATATAATGAGTTTGGACATTTTAGAGAAATGCTTAATAAATGCATTACACTGTAACTAAACCCATTCGATTTTAGCCGACTAAATTTGCTGTAGATTAAGTCGACTAAAACTAGACTAAAACTAAATACAATTCAGATGACTAAAATATGACTAAAACTAAATGGCATTTTAGTCAAAAGACTGACTAAAACTAAATCAGAATTTGCTGTCAAAATTAACACTGCATTCAAGTCACTGTGATATGTTGCTTAATTTTAGGTTGCCATCAAAATTATGTATATGTAGCGAATATTTGATATATCATTCAGTCCTTTTTCTGACGTGGTAAAAAGGCAGCTTTTAATTGCACTATTTGACAGAATAGAGGCTTGGATTTTATCTCTGTCCCCTTTGTGTCTTCATTCTGAACCTTCTGCTGAACTTGTGGGTGTGTTGCCGTCTCTGAGCTCTGTAGTGTGTGCTCGGGTTACTCAGAAGTGGTTTCCTCTCTTCATTTTCTGCCTTTTGGGACTAGATTAATTTCACAGATTTACATGTACCTCCCTGAGTATGCCCTGCTTTCAGGGATGATTACTCGCCTAATTAAACTGTAGAGCCTTCAAAAAGACCTTAGAGAGAACATAAGTGTTCATTCAGTGTTTAGTTTTAACCTGAAATGTTTTTTTTTTCCTTGGGCCCAATTCTGTACAGATACATTCCTCTAATGCATTCTTAGAAGGTTTTGACTTCTGCTTGTCTAGAGTTTAATCTCTTTTCCATTTGTACATACAGCAATCAACAGCAAAGAGACCTAAAATCGTTATCAGTGAGAGTTAGTGATTTCCGCTGGCATGATTGACAGTTGGTGATGTGACCGATGAGAAAAGTGTAACTTTATGCAAATGGAAACAACTACTAATGTCAGTGAATTGGAGCTCATCCATCCACCATGAGATCTTATTTTTACTGTCATGTCATTATTTGGCAGATTTTCAAAAGGTATAGCCAGTTACACAGCCCTACAATAATATTGGGGCGTCTAGTAGTGAAAAACCCCTACTAGCAACGGCCTTTTGACTGCCAGACCAAGTTGAATGGAGCATAAAGGGACGTTCACACCAAGCATGAACGATAACTATAATAACTATAACGTTTTATTAATCGTTCTTATTCTATAAGAATAGGGAAGTCCACACCATAGCTATAAAAATAAAGAAGAACAATATCATTGGAATCTCATTAAGAACTGTTTTTTTTTTCCCAACTGATGAACAATAAAAACAATTCAATCAGAATTCAACTGACTTTAAAGGGGCAGATGGCATTAATAAAGTTGTTGTCCATTGGTGTGAATCTATTATTGTTAGTGTTATAGTTATCTTTATAGTTATCGTTCTTGGTGTGAACATACTTTGTCTCAGTGTTTGTTTCTTTTACCCTTCTGCACTTTTCCATTCCTTCTCTTTCTTTACCCTTCCTTTAGGATTGCTGCAGAACAAAGTAGTAGGTTGGCAAAATATAGGAGTCTGCGATAAATGCCTGAATGTTTTGCAAAAAGAAAGGCCAGTCTTCAGGCTGAAGTAAGGCTTGCTGTTGCCACCTGTGCATCCCATAATATGGCATCAACATTTCCATGACAACACCTACTGCATGGCTGTGTTGGTGTGTTTGTTGAGTGAAGCTCACAACTTCCTTTGAAACATAATGCCATTTGTGACTGTCAAGCCATATTTTTCATGTCTTGCTTTTTATTGATCAGAGTGTTGTGATCACTTGTTTTTGTTGGCTTGTGTTTCACTTCATTAGTGTGTGCAGTGACAGACCGCTGAACTACAGTTTAGGCCCTATGTGATAAATTGCTTGATCTGAGATTTTATATTTATTTTGCCCCAAAGTCTTTTTGTCGCTGTGATAGTTTCTCAGTTGTGGAGTTGCCTGATTAAAGTTCTGCATGAACAACTACTCTATAAATTCCAAGCAGCAAGTTCACTAAAATATTATTTTCAGTGCAAACGTGTTTCTGTAAAAATAAGGGGCATCATAGGGGTTCACAAATGGCAGTGCTATTTGCCTAGCACAATTAACATTTGCAGCATTGCCTTTGTTTTTTTTTTGTTTTTTTGCACATGTTCTTATCTGGTTTTATGTTACGTTACGTACAAACATTTCTTTATCATGCAAAAGTAACAATTTCCTTAATTCAATTTATAATTAATTTGCTCTAAAATATCACAGTTTGATTGGCTGTGCAGCCTTTAACATCAACAACCAAAATACAGGTACAAATTTCCTGTTGTTTTTTACAAACAAACAAAAAATCGGTAACCCTTCAGAATAGAAAACACATATTCACTATTAACTATTAAGAGTTTTCCCTGAACAAACTCCTAATTTGCTGCTTATTAATAGTTAGTATGGTAGTTGTTGAGTTTAGGTATGGGGTGGATTAAGGAATCTAAATATGGTCATGCAGAATAAGGCATTAATGTGCTTTATAAGTACTAATAAACAGCCAATATGCTAGTAATAAGCAACTAGTTAATAGTGAGAACTGGTGCTTAAAATAGTGTTGCCAAAAATTCTTACCAGAATATCAACCTGTAAATAAAAAAACAAAAAAAACAACACAGCCCTTTTTGGTGAATTAGCAAGGCTATACTGCTACATAAATCAGTTTTGTAACACAGGTGGTAAAGGAAAAGCCACATGAAGAATAAAAGTTCATCACAAGTAGTCTTTCCACAAGGTGAGGTAAATTCTAATGTATAGTAGGTGCACGGTGTCATACAGACAAAATATACACATCTGATAGCAAAAACTACCAATAAACAATTATTTAAATGAAATCCAATCAAATGTGAAGTGCCACAGGGAATGTCAGTTTATGGTTTGTCAGTTCTTTTCTACTTCCAAAAATGGCACATTTAACAGTGTCTTGCTATAAAATGACATGAAATGTAAGTTAAGATCTCTGACTTTTTTTCCCTGTATAACAATTGTTTACTGTAGCATTTTAACAGTCTTCTACTTAATTTCTTGGAGTGGAGATCGTAGTAGTCTGCTGCATCCTTCTTAACCTATAGTACTCATAACTGGCCTGCTAAAGAGGAATTGCTCCGTGCAAGCCGTGCCTGGTGTTTGCAATACCTGATTTGCATGTGTTTTCAAATCTCGCTGAAGCACTGCAGACACGATGCATGCTAATAAACAATGCTCAATGCATGCTATTTATTCTTGGTGAATTCCCCCTCCTAAAATTGTTTTGAATACTGAGTGGTATTATACTAACCAACTGCAGTGTGATTGATGACAAAAAGGTTTAATGTGGCATTGCAGAATATGAAGAACCAAAGTTTAAAACCTACGCTTTTGCTACCTTGCAAGCACTGCTATTTACTACAGGAAGTACAAATCTGGTTTTAACCAGTACTTGATGTTCTCTCTTTCAGACTTGAAGGAAAATGATGCTGGTAAAATCGTGAAGACCATGGATGTTTCATATTCATGTTTTTTTCTTTATATAAGAAATTTGGGAAGTATTGGTGGTGGTTTAAAAGAGAAACAAAGATGCAGATTCTGAATTTTTCAAAATTGACAATTAAGAAACATGCAGTTTTTTTCAGACAACAAATCACTGTCAGATGAATACGTTGAGGATATATGATGATTGTTGCTTGTACATTGAATTGTGTTTGGTGGTGATGCAAATGAAAGTTGGTGATATTCTACTGCTGTTTTCTGTTTTTTGTAAGGATGTTCATTTGATTGTTTTTGAATACAAATTCCTGTCCTCAGATTTTTGTAACGAATAGTGAAGCATGTTCCCGTTTGATTTTTGTTTTTTTTTCATACCATGAGAGCAAGAGGTTTTATTTGCCATCAAATGAACAGAAATGTGGAATCATTTTTCCAGTCATCACCACACAGATGGCTAACAGTGTTTTTTTTTTTAAATAAATAAAACAATAAAAACACATTTGCTCGCTTTGTGTTGTTTAGTGGCCGATACTGGTTTTTAGAGAGCAGGGTGACTGTAAGGGGATTATGTAGGAACCAGAACATGTTAAAGAAATGAAAGCTTTATGCTTTTTAAGCCATTTTTAAGGGCTCAACATGAATGTTGGACACTTGCTGGCTGCTCTTACCTTTTTTGGTGCAGATCATCCATTAAAATATTATTTTAATTTTACTTTGTTCCATGACAGAATTCATTTCAATTTCATATATGTTGTCACATTACTAGACTAGCACTGGACAAGTATAAGATTGTATTAGCTAGATAACAAACTGTGAGCAAACATAGAAGAAATTATACAGAGTAAAGTTTTAAAACTCAACCTAAATGAACATTAAAACAATAAAATCGCCCCCTTTTCTCACTTGCTTAAAAACACATAAAATACTTAATGAGTAATACTCTACTTGTCAACTTAGAAATAATACAATTAGTGAGAGGTTATTTATTTCAATATATTTTGGCAAGAGTTCTGATATCAGGTAGGATTTGTCATCAGTGTTTTTAAGGAGTGGCTTAGGGAATGATCAGTTATACCACTATACAACCATATGTACCTGCTATGGTGTGGATGTCTAATACATTTAAACAATTGTGTATTTTTAGGTAGGGACTATTTCTGTGGCAGACCTTCTGAACACTGGCTGTAAAAATACACAGTGCACAGAAAACTGTATGAAGGGTGAACTGAGATTTAATAATCCAGTGTGAAATGTGGCAAATGCAAGTATAAAGACTGTTCACAGTTTTTGTATTAATTTATAATCATTGTGTAACTACTGAGAACTTAAGTCTTTGTGGTTCTCTGTAACTTTGTTCCCTCTCAATGACATCCATATCCACATCTTGTTTGAAGGTGTCTCCATATATGCCAGACTGGCGTTTCACATAGTTTTGAGTTTCTGGTCTGTTGACAGAGAGAGAGAGAACACAAAGTGATTGAAATATCATGGGACACAGCATTATTAAATTGTGTAGTTAAATCATGAGATTAATCAGCAGAATGTGGTGGGGGGTGTGGATCAGAGAGGGGGTTCCTAAAACGAAATTATGTAATTAAAAACATTAAATGATTTAGTTATAGCTGTCCAAAAATATCTAAAACAAAAAACATACCCAAGTCTTTTGCCCATTACAGTTTGAAGGAATTTTCTGGCAGATATTTGACCGAGAACTTTTCGGTAGCTGTTGGTAAAGATGGCGTCAGCATGTCTTCCAAACCTAAAAATGGTGTTTAAACATGATACTGTTATGTCAGAATTAGATGACTATATTTGAAGTCAGATTAGACCATTTCTGACCAAGGATGGTATTAGGGTTCAACCACTGGGATGGCCCAAAGTGCAAGAAGTTTGTGCCAGTTAACAGAAATGTCACGTGCTTGTTGGGCCAGTGCTGCATTTTTATTAAATCTTACATTTAGTTAAGTTTTATTAAAATTGCATGAAAGATTTTTGATAGTTTGGAAGCATCAGCAAAAATGTGTTGACTATATGTCAGTAATCATTGTATGCAGTATGCCATATAACTGTATACCACCATTTTGCAGCCAAAGTGTTTTGATAGTTGTCTTGGCAAATTAAAACGCTAAACCATTTGTTAGTTAACTACAAATGATGCATACGTACAGTATTTTAGTATATACTGTATGTATGCGTCATTTGTAGTAGGGCCAGTGAAAATGTCAAGGCAAGAAAAGTCTGAAGACAAAAAGTAGAAAAAAGGTGTTATTGTTGAGCGCTAGGTGAATGAATAATTGACTGACCTAAACTCAGCATCTGGTGTTTGGGATGAAGTGTCTGCTGGCAACTGCATTGGATCCTCAATAGAGGAGGTCATCAGTATCGTAGCCGCTCTCTGACCGAACCTAACAAACACATCAAGCACTGTGTTTATCACTTTATAGTTGATGAGATACTGTGTGTCCATCATAATCGAGGATGGGGTTATGACTGGGACAACTAGTCCCAGTCTCACCACAGTTTTTAAACAAAAACATTGTTATTAGCTTACAAATTTAATGTAGCAAGGGAGAGAATTCAATAAGATGATTGCAAAAAGCTGTGGACTCACATCAAGTGTCTGTAGTTCATAATAGAAACCCTGACCCTAGTTAACAGAACAAAAGCAGAGCTCAGTCTCTATTAATTAGGGTAACGTGTGACAGACTCTGAACGTAGACTTTCACTCTTCTCATAGGCAGCTGTTCTTTGTTAGTACCATTCCCACCCTACTCTCTGCCCATGTGTTGAGGTGTATAACCATATTAGTGTAAAAATTAGTCATACACTGTTAATTAGTTGTGCTGCAAATGTCATGTTCTGAGAAAATCAGAATGCTATGAGAATGGTTTGCTGTTACATAAAACTGTTGATGATTTCAAGTAGTTTCTCATTTAAGAGGATTTGTAATTATGAATGATGTAACTGTTATATGTTATGTTTGCTGCAAAGACGACTGCATGATTCAGACATATAACGACACTGTATATTTTAATAAGGCTCAAGTAGTTACCACTTAAATTCTAGTGTTAAGGAATCACTTTTCTAAAGCAGTTGCAAATTACAGAATGAATACACACACTAACTTAAGACACTAACAGTTTACAGGGGGTAGTCAATTAAGGTCACAGTTATAATTACTTAGGACAGTGCAAAGACATTTAGCTGACTCTGAAAAACACAGAAGAAAGATGCCCAGGGTTGGGCATGAGGACTGCAGATGCGGCCAGTGCAATAAACTGCAACGTGCGTAATGTAAGACACCTAAGACAGGGCTACAGGGAGGCTGGAAGGACAGCTGATTGTCCTTGCAGTGGCAAACCACATGTAACCATGTGTCCCCCAGATGTGTTCAAGAACTTGCAAATACCTTGTTGGAAGAGAGTAGTAGCATCTCACAGCGGGAACTTAAAAGATATTGATCCCCACTTTGTTCAGGTACTCATTATTCCATTTCTGTTCATCACATGTCTGTGATGTTTCACACATTTAATATTTTTAGGTTCATACAAATATCTATACGTTAAGAGATTTGTTACAAATAAAAAGTATTTGTTTAATTTACATGCATGAAAAATAAAACAATCAAATATTATATATTTAAAAAAAATGTAATGACAGTTGGTTTTGGTCTGTCTTACCTCAGTGGATAGACTGGGGAAGATGTCGCTGAAAGTAACAGGCAGCAGAACAATAGCGGGACAGTTCTCTGCATCATTCTCACTAAAAACACAGTTCACATAATGTTTCACATCCACTGAAGCTATATATATGTATGTATATATCACTGGGCAGACTCTTGCTTTTCTATGCTACTCTATGATTATTTATTATTATTTGGTTACATTAAAATAATGTATTTTTTTTGTAAATTAATACGTTTTTATTACCATTTTTATTGTAAATTAATTTTACAATTTATAATAATTATTGTTATTGTTGTTGTTGTTACTATAACATTCCTGTTTCACTCTTGGAAAAAAAAAGTTCCATTCAGAACCAAAAAGTGTTTTACATTGAACATTCTAGCTTTTAGGTTTAAAGAACACAATAAACTGATAAACAGATCTGAAGAATGTATAATAACATCAAGAAGCTTTAAGCCTCTAAAGAAATATAGGCAGCCAAAAAAGGTTCTTGATGATAAACCTATACTACAAACAACCATCCAAGTACCTTTATTTTTACTTTCAAATGTAAAATATAATTCCTAAGTTGAATAACCTTTTGATAGAATGAGAAAAACTGAAGAGTTTACCTTGCATGATTGGTGATGTGCTCCTCTGACAGTCTAATGAACAAAGACATGAAATGTTGGTCACTCTCACTCAGGGTTTGGTTTCATTCTTGGTGATGCTGAATAAGAGAATTTAAAAAGACTTTTGTTTTTCATTTTGTACCCCTCTTGTGTATCTCTTGTTTTATATACCTCACCTCCCTCCCTTCCCCCTCCCTCTCTCTATGCCC